TATTCGCAAAAAATGAAGCATTTCATGTTGACTGTCTGTAGAGAAAAGTGAAATTTCCATCATCCATTATGATCTGGGGGAGTATGTCAAGAAAAGAAGTAGGAAAACTTCATTTTATTGATGGAAATGTGGATACAAACAAATATTTGGCAATTTTAGAAGAATCGCTTTTACCAGTGATGGAAGAATGTTTGACTTCCGGCCAAGATTTTGTTTTCAGCAAGATGGTGCAGCGTACCATACCTCAAAAAAGGCTATAAAATGGATGGAAGAAAATAATGTACCACTTTTGAAATGGGTTTCTAGCAGTCCAGATCTTCGCCTATTGAAACTTTGTGGCACGAGATGAAAAAGGTTATACGACAACATCCTGCTCGTACAATCACCGAACTGAGACAAAAGCTTCAAGAATATGGGATTGTTTTACACCAAATGTTTGCCAAAACTTGGTTAACACTATGCCCCAAAGAATTTCAGCCGTAATAAAAAATAAAGGTGATGTTACCCAATGGTAATCTTTCAATTGTTGCTTTGTTAACTTCGCGCATTTATTCGCACATTGTTTATTTGTTCATATGTTCTATTAGTTATAGGTCTAAGTGATTTCAAATATGTATTTTTTACGACTAGATTTTATCTCAAATGTTTTTGAGAAAATAAATTGTTTAGAAGTGAATAGTGTCGTCATGTTTAGTTTATAAAGGCATATTTTGGTACAAATCTTGAAGTGTGCCAACTGAAGTGGGAAGGGGCTCGTACATAGCATAAGCTGCCATAACAACATTTTTTTTCATATTCTAATATTTCGTACGTTTCGCAGGTGAGTTATGGCTGGACTAAGTATATATATTTTAGTAAATATAAATTATCAAGTGCTTACAGTTGTTTCATTATAATTTCGTGTTGCAGTGCTAGACTAGTTGAGAAATATATTGACTTGCATTTCATAACTAAGGAAAAAGATTAAATAAATGATAACTCTGAAAGTACTATCAGGATTTTGATGAAATTTTGACCCTAGGTTACTACTATGAAAATGACCAAAAAGTTCTACAGTTTTTTGAATCTGTACAGTGGCGGCCAAGTTATCGGCGAAAAACAAACAAAAAACGGGCAAACTTCGTATTTCGACATTTCTGAGGCTTCTGACAGACTTAAGCTTTGGTCGCTCAAAACAGGTTCAAGCGCGACACTGATACCGATAATAGACGTTGGTACCACCATGCGTCGAACGTCCAGTTCATCCCATCGATAAACAACGTTAGAGATTTTTTCGCCGAGATCCCGTAGTGAACTAGAACGGGAACAGATGGAATTTTCCCTTCCTCTCGAAGTTTTGACAGTTTCAAGTTACAACGGGAGTAGTTAGATGGCGATGTTGCGCAAAATGTTTGATATGACAAGTTCGGTTCATATATCTTCGATGACCTTCTCCCTTGTCATTTAAAATCAGGTGGACGCTGTTCCTCCATTTATAATTTAATAATTTAACTCAATTTCAGCACTGCGAGACAAATTTCAATTGAGATGCCTGTTTTTAAATGCCATTGACATAAGACCTGTCACCTCACAGACGATAGGCGTGTACCCGCATCACGTGATTTTTTGACATTCGGACACCCGTCTTCCCATTCCCGTTCTTCGCAAAAATTTGAGTATCGGTTCCCGGTAGTGCACTGTGCTCTGTGCTACACCGTGGACTCGCGAAACAATAATCAAATCCAAGCGAATAACCAAATTTCTGTGTTATGTATCGCGGTTATAGTATGGTTCAAGATGACACACGGGTTGATGACGTCAGTTACTCGAATCGCTTGAACGCGTTGGTTTTAACTACGTTTTTGTTGCAAGTTGTTTATTTTAGAGAAGGTCGTATATAATTTCTGATTATTTTTATTATCACTCAATAATCGGTGCTTTTTCGTCTACAACGGTGTATGGAAAGTTTAAAAAAGAAACCTTTCATAATATTAATGGGAGAAATCTTTTTTTCAGAAAAAAATTTGTGATGATGGAGCCCATGGCTTTGTAGCTATGATAACTTTCAACTCTCTAAACTTTCCGCATGTCAAAGAAAACATTTATTGATTTAGCAGCAATGGTAGGAAAAAGCGATGAAAAAAGATATTCGCAGAACGCATGCAGGTGGACATCATCCAGTGAGTTTATATGGCCATATTTTAATGTTCTTGTGGTATATGGCTATACAGGATACTTTGTTAAGCATAGGAACTAGATTTAAAATATCCCCAACAACAGTAATGATTATAACTAATAAGGTGCTCTACTTTATACTAAAACTGAAGTCAGCCTGTATCAAGTTTCCCAAAAATGAATCTGAAGTACAATAATAATATCCAATACCCGCCCAAATTCTAACTTGTCACATTTGAAATAATAACCAGAAATATAAACTACTCCTGAGTTGGGTAAATACCACAATTTTGCGGTGATAACTATGACATATAACAGCTGATTCATGACGTCACGGATCTTATAACCAAACTGATAACCACACTCGCTTGAACGGATCCGTAAATACCAATCCAAAATGGTAAATACCGCTTTCATTTGGTTATTCGCTTGAATTTGATTCATCCTTATTTGGTTTTGACAGTCGCTTGACAGTATTTTGTTTGTTGTGATTTTATTTTGAAATTATTTTTTATAACCTTTTGTACTTTGGAAATTAATATATTCATGTTTGTTATAGCCTAGCTGCTATACATACAATTTATACATCTAAAAATGAAATTCAGTATGTTTTACTCTTGTAAAAGTGTTTTTGTTATTAATTTTCATAGAAAATGGTGAGATTGTCTTCTGCAATATAGTTTGTTGCTGAATTTGTTTTTCATTTAGTATTCAATATTCTTGCTAGTTCATATATTATTTGAACATTACTCAATCATAAATTTGCATTTTTAGATAGTAGATAGTATAGGTTAGGATACGCCCAATTTCATTAACATTAGTCACTGTGGTGATCAATTAACTACCAAAATACATCGAATGCCCCATAATTTGCGATATTAACATAAATATTTTTCAGCTGTAAGCATTAAATGCTGGGAGTGCAGATCTGATGCAGATCCTAAATGCTCCGACCCATTTGACAACACAACCTTGGCAATTACTGATTGCAAACAATTAAGGTCACTTGATTACCTGCCAAATGTTCAAGCAACAATGTGCAGAAAATCCGACAGAAAGGTAAGCTATGCTACTTGTATTCAATAAATGAGTTTGGTGTATCTGTATGATCAGTTAAAGGAAACATTGCAACACCAGACTATCAAAATAATGATAAAAGTTTTGCTTAGCATGTTGAATTGTCGGAGAAGATTCACATGAAGATTTCTGCAACTTTGTTTTGGCACAATCTCAGCACTCTTAAGTGCCCTAGCGCATGCACTCTTTATTTGATTGTGATGCATTTAAAGCATTTTGTAGAGGAAGGTTGGGCCTATATTTGCCAAAAAACTGCATTGTAATTAGACAAGCAGTAGTGCTAAAATAAGTCAAGTGGTCAAAATGGTGACATGCTAATTAAGTTGAGCAGTGTAGTTATCTAAAACTACTATGCTTCCAATTGTATGGGAAATACATAGAATACAGAAAATATGCTCTGCAAAAACAACAATATTTAAGGATGCATGAATTCTTTCGACTTGCCTGAAAGGTGATTTCAAGAAACTATTTGCCTTAGTAAAATGCTGGCTAAAGAATTAATCACTTTGAAGGACCACACATCACGGAAAAAGAAAATGTGAGAGGAATCATGATAGAAAACATGGTATGTGCTCTCTGTTTCTATGCAACAGGCTCATATCAAGTTGTATAGGGAAGACTATAACATTGGTATAGCACAAAATACTGTCATCTCATAACTGACATAATAGATGCTGATATTAATTAATCCTAAACTGATTCTGAGTCTGGCCTATTTTCTGCTTTTGTTTTACTGAAAAATCATCAATGTCAAGTGCAATGCCCATCAAAAACTGTCAAAAATCAGTCATATTTTTTGATTTTCAATTTGATCAATTATTGTGAACAGATCAATCAACTGTATTGCTAAGTCTTCAATTTAGTTGAGTAGAGTAACATGACCTCGGTAAGGGTATAAAAAGGGGGAGTTGAATTAAGAAAATTCACTTGACCTTGAAAAAGCCTTGATGATCTAGTCGTCGTCATAGTTAACATGACCGTCATTTTCGTCCATGAAAACCATACAACTTTTGGAACCTTTTTCAATGAATTATAGTTTTTGAAATATTTAGGTGGGGTGATTGAAATGGAATGTATAAACATATAACCTAGTATGGGTAAATGCAAACAAGTTTATGTTTGGACTCTTTCTTTTTGGGGAATGCACAGAATGCTGTAGAATCAGTGATAATGATAGGGAGTAAATGTATCTGTTTCTCATTTTTTTCAAATGAACATAAAAACCACTGAAGGTATGGTTACCTGCAATAAAGTTAAAAGCTCTATGATCTTTTTAATAGAAGATCTAGTTAATTGATTTCTGTTGATGAAATATAGTCCTAAATAAAAAAATGTTTTTCAACAAATCAAAAATTTGATACTGGGTAACAACCCTTAAATTAATAAAGTGAATCATTTGGTTTTTAAACATGAATCAATGGGTTATTATTAATGTGGATCTAAAAAAAGTACATTGAGAATTTTAGCAGTAGGAAGTATCAAAAAATTACTTCCATATCTAAATACTTTTGCGCCAAAGTGTGACATAATAAGTTTGACTCTACTGTCAAAGTTTTCCACACTGCTCTTAGAGTACTATATAGTCCAGGTAGTATATTTGCATCTGCTCGGAAAAAATACTCTGATTTGGATTTTTTACATAATCGTATTCAAACCTTTTAACGAATTTGAACGTTGCTCAAAATTGCACCAACTATTGTTTAAAACAATCTTTTCCATGAATTTCATGTCTTTTTTAAAGTTTTTGGATCATTTTGAAAAAAGCTCTTATGAACGTTTCTCTAAAGTTGATGGTTTTAATATATCTTTGAAAAAGAATATGAAAAACGGACATTTTAATGCTCTCAAAGTTCTTAAAAATTCTTCAAACATCCATCAACAAAGTTCCAAAGCATTTCAAATGGTACTGTTATTGTAAACCTTCGTTTTTTAATTGTTTGACAAACGCATGGCCATGGCATTGAGCGCGCGCTGTTTGTCAGCTGTGGGAAAATTATAATTTTCTCTCTGATATTCGTGGTCTTATTCGGATTGTATAGTTATATTCTATACATTTCTGGGATAAAATTTACATCCTATTGGCGGATACCAGAACTTCAAATGATTAAAATGTATCTTGAAATGAGACGTTAAAAATGCAACTTTGTCGAGTCAAGCTAGAAAATACCTTTATATTACTACATATTGTTACAAACAACCATTTTTGTCATGTGTTTCTTTACATTACAGTGCACGGTGTATGGAAATACATACGTAGCTGTGCGTACCTTGGGAGCCTGGCTTAGGTGGCGATGAACGGTTCTGCTTGATGCGTACAGGCACTTACAATATTTTCATGGAATATTGTACTTGCAACACCAAAGATGGTTGTAACACAGCATCAAGTTTGAAATTACAGTCACTTCTTATGTGGTGTTCAGTCTTAGCATTTATAACATGCAGATACTTAAGATAGCCTTTTATTTAACTTAAGGACAATACTGAAGATGCACATTATCGAACAAAATTAAATGATTGGAAACAGAATTGCGCTAAAGGTTTTGAACCATTTTTTCCAAGACAACCAGTACCTTATGTTGGTTAGCTTGCTATCATAAAAATGCGTTATTAGATGTTTTAAAAGATATTTAAAAACTCATCAGTTTGATATGACTGATATTAATTTCAAATTACCTGTTTTTGTTAGGAATTTGGACTTATCTAATTATGAAATGTGAAGTAGAAGTGTTATTCTGATATTTCACTAAACAAGAAAAGCAGAAAAATAACAAATATACCTTTCTACAATGAATCATTTTGGTATCTTTTCTCATTAATTTTGACTGATATGCATGTTAAGTTGACTGAACTCTTATGAAAGGAATCTCATGGATGCTAATACACTGTATTATATTTATGTTCAATATGCATTGCACTGTTAATATTAAGTTGCATGTTTTAAGTTTAAAGTTTTTTAATTAGTCTGTATAGCTTGTACCGAAATATCACTCGGTAATATATTTATAACCTGTAGTACAATCATTTCAGACATCAGTAATATTATCCATATATTGAGCATATTTTGAAAAGAAATCTCTGATATTCATATCATACATGTAACATTTTAGTAGCTATTGCGATACATTTTATGTTTTGTATTTTTATATATAGAGCTGCTTAACTACTGTCCGTCCAATTTTTGTATATTGTTATTAAAATAGGCGTATCCTTAATTCACTGATTGAGCCACTGGTGCAACCAGTTAGCCAATTTGGCGTCCTCTAATTTCCGCTGGAACGACCGGTTGTACACCAAACTTGGCTCAAATGGCGAATTAAGGATACGCCTAATTATAAAAATAAATGGTGTTATTTTTATGATGCAGTTTATTTTCCAACTCAACAAACATGTCTGAGGTACTAGACTAAATGCTCTGAGAAGGAAGTGTAATTTTTTTCGTGCCACCTAAGAAATGTGTTAACAACAATCACACGCAACCTTTTAGATACACCAAACTATAAATTAAAAATAATACAAGTAGCTTGCTTCCTATACTTTAGACTGCAACAGATGGAAGAAGCTTTCCGAAGTTGGAGTAATTGAATCATCCTAAGACTTTTATGAATCAGTTTTGACTGTCTTCAGAGGCAGAAAATTACGAAACACTAAAATCTGTTTAAGCTATTTAATAAAAAAAAAATCCGGAAAAAATATTGTCAAGTAGCCTTGGTAGCTGGATACTTCGTAGGCATTCACATATGACTACATAATTTCGAATTTTCCATATGTATAAAATGAAAATCCTTAACAGGCAAATACAAGCATATCAGCTCCAGAAATATATGTTTACGTGGGCCAAAACATGAAGAATTAGAGAGAAGTGGTGCAAGGTAATGGACAAGGACGATAAAATTGCCTCTTTCGGAAATATCATTGAACTGTAAATCTCATTTTCTTCCTCTCATCTCATATTAGTGTATGCGTCTATTATGATGGATAAATAACCTAATTGTTGTAAACGGTGTTATGTAAAAAAACGACAAAATGAAAACTTTTGCAGACTAGGTAGTTAGATCGATGTGAGCGTCATCAAAAGTATCTATGGAGGAATGAGTCAACGACACGATATGCTCAAGCATACATTGTTACTTACAGAAAACCAAGTAGCGTTTATCTCCTGAGTAGCCAAATCGCATCTGGATGATTATGTGTATTGATCTGCATGTGTATAACATCAGTGATGTGATAGATATGTGACAAAATTATAACTGTATATACTGCCAATAAAGTAAATCTGATTAGCTGTGCCCGACGGGTTATTTATAGTTTTCCTTTCTGAAAAGGCGTTGTGTGTAATTACTGTTAACACGTATATGACTTGTAATTCAACAGCATACACAGAATATGATTGCAATATGTGGCAGTATGTAAGTATAAAATATAAGATTCCAGATAAAGTTAATCACATCACGGACCAGGGCTTTTCTTCTTTTTTTTTTCTCTCTCATTTTTGAAATTCAGCAAATTCGCATATGTAATTTCCAGAATGAATAAGAAAAAGTGGATGCGCAACTAATTTCAAGCTTTAAATACATCTCAACTAAGTGTATTTGAGACAAGAAACCATTTGTGTGCTAATAATCTTCAACACAAATCCTCACTGCACTACTGTTTCCTTCCAGCAATAGCATACAACTTACAGATAAGATCTCCATTAATGCCATCTCTGAAGCAGATGTTACATCACATCAGAGCCAAACATTGATAGCTGAAGCATCATAATGTTTAGGCAACACGTACAGCTACAAAAGAGTTCACACATCTAGTGCTAAGTTGACATCTTGTAGAAAAATCTACGTTATCTCACAAAAAACCCACAAAATGTCAAAAAAAATCAACATGTCACTTTTCAAGATACGTAATACCCGCGCCGGGATAGATTTTATTATTGCTATTTCGAGATGATGTGAATATTGCTATAATGGTCATATTGTAGTTGGAAGGGGAATACTCTCAAATATATCTCCTGGAAGAAGTGCGTATTACAGAGTAGAGCGCAGAATGGCTCTTAGTCGGGAACTGGCTGGTTTAATATTGCCTCATGACCATTTTGTGCCAGATTCGTAATTGACATATTAAATATTTATTAAATAGAAATTTACATTTATAATATTCCTAGTACAAAGATCGACAATCCTTATTTCTCCCTAGGGTATCGAGATTGTGAAACAGTGTACCCGAGGAGGATTTTCCCAGTTCTATTAACCATAATCAGTTCATAAATTGAATCAACAAAGTTTCTTTAAGTTCGTTTTATAGTAACCACGGTGCACTAGTATTTAGGCTTCTGTCTTCGCAACTGCTTCGGTTTTTAAAAAATAAAATTTTAATTCGTAATATTCATTTGTCCCATCTGGTAACCCTACCCCTGTCCCCGACGCATATAAGGCTAGATTCGCCCTTACGTACTTCCGTGACGTACCCTTGAATGAAGGGGCCAACATTAAATCCACATGAAAACATGAACAGACTAAAACACGAATTAGACAGTAAAAACTAAATATTTGCCAATTTGTTTTAAATGTTTTAGCACCCTAAAATCAAGATAATTACTTGCATTTTGAAATTTGTTTTTTTTAACTTAAATGCTCAACTTTAGTTACTAATGAGTAGGTATATATGAATAGTTCAAGATGCACAAAAATCATTGTAAAAATAATGGTACTCGTAATAGATTTTTTAAGACTGACTACATTTCTTATTTATTTTTTTAATGATATGTATTTACAGTTTATTGTTTTTACATGCATAATAACTTAATAAACATTCTCAGAACATTTTATTTTTGATATCTACTCATTAATTTCTGACTCTAGGCTCAGATGACAGCAGTGTAGTTTGCCTTACAGTATACTATAAATTCAGACACAGGATCATTTTCACCATCACCTCTCATGGTACCTGTGATTTCATCATTCTCTACCATTGGCATGAACAGGTGAACAAACTCGGAGCTATATGGAGGTCCTATTGTTTCCAAAACCTCAGTTACAAAGTATCTGATCAGTGAAATATCTGTATCTCCTTTTTGCCAACATTGTTTAATATATTTCACCAATGGTACAACACAGCCTGAACACAGCAGGTTCACCATTCTATCTAGAACCATTTTTCTCATTTCTAACTGTACCAGGATCTCCAGCTCATCTTGCTTAGATTCAAACAATCTGACAAGCAAATCCAAAACTTGATTATGTAACAGTGGATGTAAGGTCACCACTTCATCAAGAAGTGCTAAATGTATAGGAGTATGTTCTGTACATAGTTTAAAGTAACTTGGCTCCGTTACAGTACATTCCACCCATCTGATTATTCCTATCGATACCACAGGATACTTCAAAGACTGATAAATTTTAGAGAGTTCAGCAATCAATTCTGAACTTCCTTTGTTGCCATTACAAATATTATGTACTGTTTCTATAGCACGTATAGTTGGTTGTAACTCATCTTTGTTAGATATCCTCTTCTGACCTTTCTTTTGTTGCACTTCTGAAACACTTGCTGCATATGCCAACAGATGAATGTACTTTGGTTTGTAGTCAGGATTCAGTTTTACTCCTGGCTTAAACAGGGAATCTATGAGTAGTTCTAAAAACTGAGGAGTTCTTATGAGATCTAAAGGAGGTGGATCAGGAGCATTGTAATTCCTGTATAGAACAGTAATATCTGCAGGGTTTAATGTGTTTTTTGACATCATAGCCATTAATGCTTGGCATGCTGTGGGATATGCGGAAGCACCATTAAGTGCCATTGTTATGGGAGTAACATCATGTCCATTCTTTTGTGCACATTTTGTTATTTCTTGTGAAAGCCTTTTCATCGCACTTCCTCCTTTTGATTCCCTAGCTAAAATATGTATTATAACTTGACTATAAACATATGTATGTTGTCCATGGCAGACCATTTTTGCACACTCTTTACTTGTACTCTGCCACTCCTCTGGATTTGTCAGAAAACTTGATATTGATGTTTTCAATACTCTTGAGAATACTTCAAGTTGTTGGGCAGCTGTAGATATACTAGTAATTTCTCCTTGAAATCCAGCATCTGATATCAGCTTAATGGTGAAATTGAGCATCAAACAGTCTGGATATTCTTCAGCTAGCCTATATATTAGTGACCTCCATGTGGGATGCTCTATTAACTGTGTCAGCCAAGCAGGGGTTTCTCCCTCTTCAGTGAATATTGTGTCGGCTTTCTTCGGATCAAAAGTCTTTAAAATCATCTCTTTCAAGTGATTTTCTACCATGGCTTGCACGTCTGTTACTTTCACGCCTCCAATAATTAACCACTCAGCAATCAAGTTTGCCATCTGTGCTACAGCAGTATAATTCTGAGACAGCTCTTCGATAACTTGAAGAGGGTCTCCACCAGCTTGGAAATAACGCTTGAGCTGAGTAAATATTCCGGGCTCCATGATGTAATCGGGGGTAGCAAATTTCTCTGCACATTCTGCCAATACGTGTTCTGGGTTTTCAGGTTCTTCTCCGCCATCTGACTCGTCGCCCCTGTCGGTGTCCCAGTGTCTGTCTTCATAGTCTTCGTCCATTTTATTATAAATAAATCCTAAATTTAGGGACAAGACTAAAATACAAAATACAAACAAGACTTGTGTTGGCGCGATTAGCGTTTGTCAACAAAAAAATAACCTCATTCACAGAAAAATGGAGATGGGTTCACGCTTAGGTTCACGGAACAATGACAGCTAGTTACCTAGTAATATTTCAAAATTCCCCATACCAGCAAAGGACACATGATAAATTCCGAGAAATCGCTGAACTACAGGTAGACAAACCCGTATTTTGTTGTTCTTTGTACGCTACAGATTCTTTTTGTACTCGCTATACAACTCTTATTTAAAAAAAGTTTATTTGCATCCAAAAGAAACGCTACAAACACAAAGGCTGCTAATGACTACGACTACATTTCAAGTGCAGGTTGATGGATTGAGCAAGACCAATTCCTTTTACATCAGTGTGGTATTTTATACAAGCTGTGTTCATTATTAATTTTTATTGTCACATTTACCACCCACATAAAAATGTAATCCTGATATGTGAACAACAGCTCTGAATACGGTCCCAAAATTCATCATCGTCAACGTTTCAAATTAACACAAAGATGTCGCTTTTGTGATCAGCTGTTCAACTGTTCAGCTCAAAGCGTGATGGCGTAACAATTTTCCTGTCTGTGGTCCGTATCATTCCTGAAATTTTTGACATCTATAATTGACATTCCCGCCCTCGGCAGCTTTGCCGTTTATTATTATTTTTATTAAATAATCCATTGACAGTTATGCATATTTTATGATTAAGAATTAAATGTGCAATTACAGTAGCGAAAGAATGCTTCACTTTGTCGCCGTGATGCTGCCGCACGGGTATTCAACTAGTTGACGTCGGCTGTGGTATTACGTATCTTGAAAAGTGACATTTCATAGGTTTTTATCTACATGTTAACTTAGCACAAGCTGTTGTACACTTGTTGTGAACCAGTTTTGTAGCTGTATGTGTTGCTTAAACGTCAGCAAACAGCGATTATGACGAGCCACGACGCATCACAGCAACACTGAGGCATCACACGCAAAACATTTTCACAGTGCCTCACATCTAGGCGCTGATTTGTATACTTGACATCCCAAAATAAATTTTTATAAAAGTTAATAACTGGGAACAAGAATAATGTAAAATGCAATAGCCTTTTTACATTTCCTAAATCTTATTTGTCTGTAACCTATTGTTTCACCTGTTAGCTGTAACATACTTCACAAACCAGGGATTTTCTTTTTTACCTGTCACATTTTTGAAATCCTGCAAATTTGCATACCTATGTAATTTCTTGGATGAACAAAAAGTTGTTGCGCAACTAATTTCTAGCTTTGCATACATCTCAAGTGCGTGTATTTGAGACAAGAAACCAATGGAGTTACCATCCACACAGACTAGTAGCACACAAATCCTCATTATCAAGGGTCAGTGGCAGTACATAGGGATGCACTGCCGTTTTATTCCAGCTATAGTATACAACTTTCAGCTTAGAGTGGCTTAGACCGCCCATAGTGCCACCTCGGAAGCACATGTTACATCACATCACACCTACAGCTTCAAAACGAGAATCGTACTCTAGAAGGGTTTATTTCTGTCGTACTCCTTACAGAAATATTCCCCATTTCTAACATTTTAATCAAATTCAAGCGGATCACCAAATGGAAATAGTATTTACCATTTTGGGTTGGTATTTACCGATCCGTTCAAGCGAGTGTTGTTATCAGTTTGGTTATAAGATCCGTGACGTCACGAATCAGCTGTTATATATCATAGTTATCACCGCAAAATTGTGGTATTTACCCAACTCAAGAGTATTTTTATATTTCTGGTTATTATTTGAAATGTGACAAGTTAGAATTTTGCCGGGTATTGGATATTGTGATTGTACTTCAGCTTCATTTTTGAGAAAATTGATACAGGCTAACTTCAGTTTTACCATAAAGTGGAGCACCTTATTAGTTATACTCATTAGGGTTGTTGGGGACACTTTAAATGTAGTTCCTATGCTTAACAAAATATCCTGTGTAGCCATATACCACAAGAATATGAAAATATGGCCATATAAACTCACTAGATGATATCCACCTGTATACGGTTTTGCTAATTTCTTTTTTCATCATTTCTGCTGAATCAATAAATGTTTTCTTTGACATGCGGAAAAATTTAGAGAATTGAAAGTTATCATAGCTACGAAGCCATGGTTCCATCATTAAAAAAAATCTGAAAAAAAAACATTTCTCCCATGAATATTATGAAAGGTTTCTTATTTAAACTTTCCATACACAGTTGTTGACGAAAAAGCACTGATTATTCAGAGATAATAAAAATAATCCGAGATTATATACGCGCTTTTCTAAAATAAACAACTTGCAACAAAACCGCGGTTAAAACCAACGCGTTCAAGCGATTCGTGTAACTGACGTCATCAACCCTTGTGTCATCTTGAACCATATTATAACCGCGGCACATAACACAGAAATTTTGGTTATTCGCTTGGATTTGATTTTTGTCTCCTCCTATGTCAAATGTCAATTAGTTGTCATCACGTTTTGACGCTTCTCTCCTTTTCTTGTCCCTCCCCCCTTTGATGGTTCGTTTCGTTTTCAGTTTTCATGCTCTCTACCTTTCGTTGAAAGACGTTTTTAGAGTCAGCTTCGCGTTTCGTGTCAAACGACTTAAAAAAGTAAGTAAATACTTTTATTATAAAATATTATAGTATTTCTCTTTCTGGATATTTCCGAATAACCATACGCATTTAAAACTTCCAAAAATGTGAGAGATCGATGAGATTTTCAGAGATTGAATGTAATTGTATAGGTTAGGTTGTTACATTTTGCAAGTATTAAACAAATGTTTTCTTCCTAGATGCGTTACGTGGCTGCCTATTTGCTAGCTGTCCTAGGGGGCAAAGCCTCTCCATCAAGTGCGGACATCGAAAAGATCCTGGGGTCCGTTGGTGTTGAAGCCGATGGGGAAAGGCTTAAGAAAGTCATCTCAGAGCTCAATGGCAAGAGTATCGACGACCTGATTGCCCAAGGTAAGCTAGGAGTACGTCTTGGTGAAGCCGCGAATAAAGAGCCATGTGATAATACACGTTTTAAGCAAATTTTAATATTTAGTCTGAATGACTTCAGCCGCTTCATATTATGCTGAAATTTTCATTTTAAGTTGGATGATACCTGTGAAAACTGGTTCCACAGGTTTTTTATCAAGAGACAAAAAATTAAGTTTGAGAAATCAGAAAATAGCCTGTATTCTAAAATATCCAACTTAAATACAATTAGCTCACCTTCACTGCAGTGAAAATCCTACAATTTACAAATTAGAATAGGTTTCTGGATGACTGAGCATCTGAAAAATGTAGTATGTGGATATGAAAGGATATGGCACATTCCTTATTTCAAATGGCTCCCGGTCAAGTTGACTGAAATTTTAGTAAGTTCTACAGTCTCCACATCAATATGATCAAGACTCTATTGCACTATGGTCCTAAAATCAATCATTTTCAAGGTTCAGGCTATTCAAGCTTAACAAATTCTATAAACACCATGATTGATATATATATATATATATACAGGGTGACTTTGAAGTTGAGTCATTAATTTTCAGATAATGATTGTAGAAGGAAGATAAACCAAAATATGTGTGTAAAAATAAAAAAAAATTAAAAAAAATGTTACCTTGTTTTATAAAGTATCCTCCCGACAAGTATTTCAGTGCGGACCTGTGCACCCAAAAGCATGTCACAAAAACTGTTCGAAATGATTTCCGTTTTGCTCGACGCACAGCTGGGCGCGTCTTAGCCATGTCTCTTTACAAGCACGCAATAAAATCACTGGTTGATTTCTGATCACTGTACTCATTTCCTCAATTCGAGCACGTAATTCTTCGCGTGTATTAACCGGTGTTTTATACACTAGAGTTTTTAGCCAACCCCACAAACAAAAGTCTAAAGGATTTAAGTCCGGAGACCTTGGCGGCCAAGGTACAAAACCGCCACGGCCGATCCAACGATTATTAAATTGTCTATTTAAAAATTCACGCACATTTCTTGCATAATGGGGTGGTGCCCCATCTTGTAAAAACCACATGTTTTGTCTAATATTTAAAGGCACATCTTCCAGTAAACCAGGCAAATTGTGTTGCAAGAAATCAAAATAATTTTCACCAGTTAAGCGATTTGGTAATTCAAAAGGCCCCACTAAAATTCCATTAACAATTCCCGCCCACAGGTTGATTGGTTCAAATCGCTGTTGAAAATTGGTTTCCCTTATTTCATGGGGATTTTCAATAGCCCAAACGTGAGAATTACGTGAATTAATAATTCCGTTTCTAGTAAAGAGGGCTTCATCACTCACTAAAATTTGATTTAAAAAATTGTCATCATTTAATGTTTATTTAAAAGCCAATTGCAAAAGTCAACCCTTTGTTCATGATCTTCCGGTTGTAAGGCCTGCACTTTTTGTATGTGAAACGGATAGAACTGATTTTCACGTAGAGTTTTCCAAGTTTTATACTGACTAATCGCCAATTGAGTTGAAATTTGTCGGGTGCTTACTGTTGGATCATCACTTACTAATTCTAAAATTTGTTCTTCTAGTTCTATTTGATCGTGTGGTCTTGGAGCACCGGCATGATCTCCTCTGTGAGGTCTTTGCACTACATTAACAAAGGCACGAGGGGTTGGTTGCACTCGATTGGGAAACCGATCCGCATAGATCCGTGATGCCGCGGCAGCATTTTGTAAAGACTCCCCGTAAATAAGAACCATGTCCACAAGTTCAGCATTTTCGTAAACATGTGCCATTTTTGATTTGAGCCTCGCAACAGACACGATTATTCAATTACGCGTTACCGACTACCGACTGATACTGACTGTATACAACTGAAGAAAATAATTGTAAAAAGATCGTTCCAAATTCTTTCGCTTTTTTGTTTCCGATGCGATGAACGGATAAGGCGGATTATATCTGTTGTTGCCAAACACGAGAACATAATATCATTATTGAGACAGGGCGGTACTCAAACTTCCAAAGGGCTATAACTTTGTTACTTTAATTTTACCAGAAAAATGGTAAAGGAAAAAACATTTCTTTTGATCAGATCTACTCACTGTTAAAATAAATGACTCAACTTCGAAGTCACCCTGTATATATATTTTTTCTGTTGATTAGAAACTTAGCACCACCAACTGGATGTCATTTTTCAGGCACTTTTTGATGGTATCCAATTATTACAATCTCATATATTGTGTATATCATTTCTATCAATGGTCAGAAGGCTGAATTATAAATGGTTTCCAAGTTAGAGAATGCACATGTCATTAAAATATTGTTGAAAAATGTTTCACAGTGAAATTGGCAGAAATCTTTAATTTGCATTCTCTTCATGCCATTAATCAAAAGTCATAAGCAGAAGGCAGTAGTTACAGGGTGCGCAAGTGTAGCATATTATGCTGGTTTGAAACAGAATTAAGTAAGGCCACATTTACATTACATATTCTCAGACAACAACATAATCAACATCATATGTTGGCGAACTTCTTATGGAATTTGTTGAAAAGTCATACTTTATCAAGTATAATGTTCCAAATATTTACATTTTTATTCAGACTAATACAGAAGCAATTTAGACAACTTGACAGAATCATTTGCCACTACCAAACTTTTCAAGAAAACAGAAATATGCTGCTAATTGTAGGCCAACATTTAGTACGTGGATCAAATCAACATTAACCCTTCAGTACTCGCGCGGGGTATTTATATACCCCACGCGTCATTCATAGTTGAGTACTATGGAGGGGGAAATGCGAAATAGCTCGCCGCCTCGCGTATTCCTTAGATTCAGTGTGTAGTTATATCTGCTAGCACCGAGTGTCATTTGAGTTCGAGAAGGTTGAAGAATACGCAATTGAAGTTGATTGGGGTCTTTACGTACCCCACGCGAGTACTGACGTAAAAGTTTTGGTAGGTTATATTTTAAAGTATTTGACGTATTTCTGATAAATATTTTCAACTTTTCCAAGGCAAAGCCATGGACAACGTACGTAGCAATGATCCCAAGCAGTGGCTAAAATGGTTTGAAGAAATAGAGTCCGACGAGGAGGTCTACGGGGAAGAAGACTCGGAAGAAGATGATGGCGACCAGGAAGAGGTACAAAGAAGCGGTTCAGATACTGAGCAGGACCCAAATTCTGATAATGAAGGTAGTGAAGGTGAATTACAAGCAGAAAATATATTGAGCGGAACTGACATATATGTAGGGAAAGACAAGACATTTATATGGCAGAAAACAAAACCATCTTCATCTAGGACAAAAGCACATAACCTCGTCATGAAAATTCCAGGGCCTACTGGAGACGCAAAAAAGGCCAAATCGCATTTAGACTGTTTCCACGTTTTCATAGATGATTCCATGTTTACCAGAATAGTAGAATGTACCAATATATATATAGAAAAACTCCGGGGAAACTTTACCCGTAAAAGAGATGCGCGACCAACTGATGTTTGCGAAATGAAAGCATTTGTAGGCGTTCTATATCTTGCTGGTTGTTTGAAATCTGGCCGACAGAATGTCTTATCTTTATGGAGCACAGATGGTTCAGGCATTGAACACATATACATTACGATGAGTTACAATCGTTTTAGGTTTTTATGTCGTTGTATACGCTTTGATGATATTTCTACTAGGGAGGCAAGACGGAGTTTGGATAAGCTGGCACCAATAAGGGACATCTTTGAACGTTTTGTCTTCAAGTGCAGAACTTCAGTAATTCCAAGTTCTTATTTGACAATCGACGAACAGCTGGTTGCTTTCCGTGGTAGGTGCCCATTCAAACAATATATACCTAATAAACCCAATAAATATGGTCTGAAGATATACGCATTGGCTGATGTAAAAACAATGTATACCTATAATTTAGAGATTTATGCTGGAGCACAACCTGAAGGGCCATTCTTAGTCAGTAATAAGCCGTCGGATGTCGTAAAGCGGCTTGTGGAACCGTTGAAAGGTACTGGACGAAATATCACCATGGACAATTGGTTTTCAAGTAGCCCTCTTGCTAAAGAATTGCTCAAGGATAAGCTTACCATGATTGGCACACTAAAAAAGAACAAGAGGGAAGTCCCTTTAGAATTTACAAACACACGTTCACGTACTGAAAATAGTAGCATTTTTGCCTTCACAGATTACTGTACATTAGTCTCTTATGTTCCAAAAAAATATAGGAACGTTTTATTATTATCCACAATGCACCATGATTGCGAAGTAGATAAAGATTCCCTGAAACCAGAAATTGTGCTTGAATATAATCGTACAAAATCGGGTGTGGATACTGTAGATAAATTGTGTGCACACTATGATGTGGCAAGAAATAGTAGGCGTTGGCCACTTACAGCTTTCTTCGATATCCTGAATATTGCAGGTATCAATGCGCTTTGCCTGCATGCAATGAATAATAAATTTGAGAAAATTAAAAGAGAATTCTTTATAAAAAATATTTCGGCGGAGCTTGTGCGGCCACAAATACTGAAGAGGATTTATTCTCAAAATGTACCAAAAGATATTAAACAGCGGGGATGTATTCTCCTAAAGATTAATGACTTATCAGCTTCTACTTCCAATATTGATGCCGAAGATCAACAACCAAAAAAGAAACAAAAGACTGGAAAAGGAAGATGCAATTTATGCCCCCGAAATTTGGACAAAAAGACAACAATAACTTGCCTAAGATGCAGTAAATTTCTATGTAAAATGCATCAAATTATTACATGCAGAGGTTGTTTTGAGAAAGAAGGTTCTCCAGAAGTTGAAAGCAACTGAAACTTAGTAGCTTTAGTTATGTAAATATCTATTTTTTATAATAAATTTTGTGTTACTCAATGAATTTATTTCAACAATAAATATTGTGTTATTTGAAATCATTCAGTTAATACCCTGTCGACTATGAAAATAATCAAAAACATTTTGAAAGTATTCTATTTGTTGCTTATTTCAATTGGGGTATATAAATACCCCAAGCGAGTACTCATGGTGAAATTTGTGGCGCGAGTACTGAAAGGTTAAAGTAGATATTTTTGCTTTTCTAATCAATGTCCAAACATACCAGAAGGTTATGCTGGTGTTTTTCATGAAATAATTTCTTTGATCTGCTACACTGCACATTCTGTAACTCAAAAACTATTGATATCAGATATCTGTTTATGAAGACTTTCGATCATGGTGACATGGAGAATAACATATTTGGTCAATTAATTTAATGAATGAATATATTTTGCCATTGGGCCATTTACTGCATACATTCTTGCTTAGCAGATTCCAACTGCAAACCACTCAGTTAATTAAAAAAAATTCTTAGTTTGGCATACCTAATTTATATTGATGTCTCCTAAGTTGATGATGAGTTGATAGATTGAAGATATGTATGTTTGCATTTCTTTTTATTATCTTGAAATGTTTCTTTGAGGTCACCCTCCCCCCAGTCTGTGTGTGAGTTTGAGGCTTGCATTTTTCAAGTCTTGTTTCATATGGTAAATGTCTTCAACTGCTAATTTAGTCACTGTTTGAACACTTTCAAGAATCTCTTTGTCATTTGCATAATAGGTGCTCCCATATACCTTTACTATATTTAAGTATGAATATTATGAACTGCCTGTACATTTTTGAATATTTAAATGCTGGAGAAAACAGGAAAGTTTGGTTTGAATACTGAGGGTTATTCCTCTCTATATGAAGGGAATGGAAAAATCAATAGTTTGTTGACTTGTGCATCCTGTAACTTCAAATTGGCATTATAGGAGCTACTAAGTTCCTAATCAATCAAAATCATGTTGGTGTCTGTTGCAAGCGCCCCATATCTTTATATAATTTGTTAAGCTTTAACACCCTTTAACTGGAAAACTATTGGTCTTAGGAGCAATGGAGACTTAATCAAATTGGTGTGAAGAACAATATACTAAAATTTCAGCCAATTTGACCACGAGCCAGAAGGGATGTGCCATATCTTTATAATATAATATTGTATATTTATAACATGATGAATTTCTAAAATTACCATCTTTCGCATGAGAAACATGATTAAATTTTTATTCTGAATCCAATTTTCAAAGAGTAAAACATTATAACCATAGTTCATGAGTCTCAATGTTTCCTTGTTGTGTTCCCAGGTCGTGAGAAGTTGTGCTCAATGCCAGTAGGAGGTGCTGCACCAGCTGCTGCTGTTGGTGCAGCTGCTGCTGCTGCCCCAGCTGCTGCAGAGGAGAAGAAAGGTTTGTATTTTCTTAATCAAACAAAGTATAGCTCATTATTTTTTTTTTTTGATTTAGGATATTTTTGTCATTTTTATATTGTGTATGTTGATTAATGCCAGGACCTATTTCTTATTCATATGTAAACACTAATTTACAGTTCATAATTCATTTTTTGATATATGAACAGGAAATTTGGGCCTATGTAAAAAAGGGGCTCGGACTTTAAAATACAAACAAGACACTTGAAAAAAGGATGGCATACGGGGTAATGTTTTTCAAGTTTTCAAAACAGATTTAGTTGAAATTTTTTGTCATTACTTTTCAGATGTTTCTTACGAAAATTATTTTTTTTTCTCTGTCCTATCTCTATCATGATTGAATATTTTTTATATCTCAAAAAAATGTATCCTGGACTGTTGAGTGTTTTCCATAAGGCATGATTTTTGAAAAAAAAAAAGTTGAATTTTGTTTCCAATTGAGCTAGTTTTTTTCTAAAAATAAATGAATCAGATAATTTTCTAAATTGTATTATAATTGTGTAGATAATGAAATTGTGTCTGTTTTCTTGATTTTTTACTTGAGCTTAACGAGGACATTTTGTAAATATCCAGTTCAATGAAGATGGATAAACTTTTCAGATCTGGCTTTAAATTCCATTTTGTTCCAGTATCTGATCTTTATGTTGTACCTCAAACTTTATTAATTTTCCTGGCACATTTATGCATAGATTACTCAAAACTTATCATATGGAATTGGTCAAATCTAAATGATGAATTGAATTTAACACCATCTTTCGCCTGAGACAATGATGCTGCAATATATCTTTGCTGAAACCAAAGAAACATTTGAGAAACGTAGTTTGTGTGTGTGTATATATTGACACTGCTTTATTTTTTACAGAAGCCAAGAAGGAAGAAAAGAAGGAAGACTCTGAATCAGATGATGACATGGGCTTTGGCTTGTTCGACTAAAATGTACATTCTACATTTTTAAGTACAAAAAAGTTACTTTTTTAATAAAGTATTTATGTTTTATTTTTTTTTCTTTCACTGTAGCTTGGATGAATCATGAAATTAGACTCGTATCGACCACCATAACGAGTCGGCGCATGGGCCCTTGTGCACCTCTACATTCCTTAGACCTCAAGCCTTGCCATTCTAGCAAAGTTGACTATGGCCTTGAGTCCAAGCTCCTTAATGTTCTGGGGGACCAAAGTGATGGACCCTAGTATACGAGGGGCTACCCAAAAATAACCGGAATAGCATTGCAGTGGGCGGAGCTTGTGTAGTACACAATTCTGCCCTTAGAGGCGTACAGCGCAACTCATTACCAGTTCAGTGCCACCTGAGTTATCGATCTGGCTTGCTTCGTTCCTCTGTAGTCATTATTTTTGCTAGAGCTGTTTCGTGCTTGCTTCGTTTTTTACGATAGCAAGCTTCAGTGAGCAACATGCAGCTGTGAAATTTTGCTTTCTAATTGGTAAAAATGCTGCTGAAAATGTTTTAATGTTGAAAATAGCTTACAAAGGTGATGGTATGGGAAAACTCGGGTGTACGAGTGGTTGCTCGATTTAAAAATGGCGAAATGTCGATTGATGACAAACCTCGCCCTGGATGTCCATCAATTGCCCGAATCGACGAAAATGTTGAAAAAATCCGAGAGCTTGTGCTATTTGGAGACTTTAAGACGATTGCGAAACAGTGTTCGGCAAAAAATACCCGATTTGTGGCAGTCACGAAACTGGTTCTTCCACCACGATAATGCGCACACAGCCATCTGTTCGACAGTTTCTGGCTAAAAATGGCATGGTTCCGATGCCTCACGCACATTATTCGCCTGACCTGGCTCCGTGCGACTTTTTCTTATTTCCACGGATTAAAAGGGGCATGAAAGGACGCCGCTTTGACGACATTGAAGAGGTCAAGAAAAAATGAGGGAGGGGTTGTCAGACATTTCTAAGGAAGACTCCAAAAATGTTTCAAGCAGGGGAAGCACCGGTGGGACAAGTGTATTAGTTGTAGTGGACAGTATTTTGAAGGAGATAAGGTAACTTTGTGAAAAAGTTGAAAATAATTAGCTAGAGTGTTGTCTTGCACTCCATTTTCCTCCTAACTCTGCGCGGGCACCCCTAAAGCTGGCTCCAGACCAACGAGCTTTTTGACTGATCCCGTCTTCGTCCGCCATATCATTGCCCTTTATCCCTGCTAGACAATCCAGAGCCTCCCTGCATTGCAATATAAGGCTCGAAGTAAACTTACAGGCACTTAGTGCCTTCATTGCAGCCTGGCTGTCGGAGAAGATTGCTATTCTTCTCCTAGACCCTCCAAAATGCGGGATACACAAGCCAGAACTGCAAAGATTTTCACCAAGAGGCAGAGATACCCCAGTTCTAGACCCAGAGGCCTCTTCGGTGACCGAGCCGTCCGTGTACCAGACCTGCCCACTCACTCCGGAGACGTTCTGGCTACAGGCGTCACTCTTTGCCCTCGTTGGATACTCCATATTAAACTTGCGGTTCAGGCGATATTTAGTGTGATCAGATCACCCCTGCTCAGAAAGATAGTATAATCCCTTTGCAGTTAGACTAAAATGGCAGTGTGACCCTTAACAGGATTCAAGAAGGCCCAACTGCCCTGACTCCACAGACGATGTGCAACCACACTTCCTTCACCGCGGATCACTAGATCCAACGGTGGGAGATCCTGCAGAGCTTCCATTACACTCAATGGCGGCATTGTCCGCACTGCGCTTGTAATACTATTATAGGCCAAACGCTGAGAATTATATTGAGCTTGGCCTTAGTTGTCTTGGTTCCAATGCAAGGCCACTAACCAGGGAGCCGTGCATGAGATGGACGTATAGCATCGTCGTGTAGAGCCAGTGTACCACTTTGGGTTTAAGCATCCACCTCACTCCGACAACACGTCTGCAAGCCCACATTGAATTGTGAGCCTTGTTAACCTTGTATTTAAGATGCTCTCTCCAGTTCAGGATAACTCCTTGATATTTTACTGATTGGGATAGAATTAGTCTAGTCCCAAAGAAGGTTCTGCAAGACAAGCCTTCTTCTCCTAGTGAATAAGATCAGCGTTGACAGAAAGATCGACCTCCCTAAACTACGATTCCACAGTGCGCAGAGCGCCCCGCATAATTTCAGAGATTGTTCTACAAAAATGACCCCTAATTACTGTGCTTAAGTGCTTGCACATAAACACCCGCACTGCTGAGCCTAACGAGGAGTTCGTTCACCACGAGGCACCAAACTAGGGGTGACAGAACTTCGATGCGGCAGTGGACAGCCCCGAGCTACGCTGACGCTGACTCACTGTAGCTTATAAAAGGCTGTGTAGTTTATTGGCAATATTTTTCTTGACTCCTTGTCATGTGTTTTTTTTTTGTTTTCTGATAGAACTGCAGCTGTACAAACAAATTGTCTCACACAATCTGTTTACTCGAAGTAAAAAAAATTAATTTAGAGAATTAAATAATATTACCTAAAATATCCTCTCATATTATTGCACGAAGTTATATAAATATACACGGTGTCCCAATTTAATCTCCCAACTTGAATATTTTGAAAACGGCGCATTCTATAAAAACAGTTTCAGATGAAACTTGTAGGGTTTCAAGTGCGCAAAATTATTCTTTGACTCCGACTTTCAAGGTCGCAGTCAAGGTTATTGCCAAGGTCACCATCATTTTGACTCGGTGAAACCCATCGGCTTTTTTTTTAGAATGAACAGTTTTCGAAATATTTGGGTGGGGAGATTAAAATGGGACACTGATGTGTACACTGACAACAAATGTTCTAGATGCTATAGGAAATATGCTTTCTTTATATTGGGATTAAGCAAAATGTGCCTGAGTATGTAACTGATTAAAAAAATTGGTTTAAATGCCATTAGTGATTAATATGAAAAAAATCATATTTCCTAAAATATCAGGATGTTTTTATTTCTTTATTTGAGGATAATCAACAATTGTCTGGGCAAGTGGTTAAAGACGTTGAATATAAGTGTGAATTTTTGGTTTGTTCGTACAGCAGTCTGCAACCTGTCGGTGATCGTGTCCAAGATCCCAGATCGGGACGCATGAATTCCGTTTATTCTGCTACGCTATGTGAACGTAATTCACATGGCCGACCCGGGTATTATGCTTATCCTGAAAGTGTCATTTTGTCGTTTTTGACATTTTATAGTTTTTTCTGTGACATAAGGTAGGTTTTTCTACAAGATGTCAACTTAGCACTAGCTGTTGTACGGTTGCTCTGAACTCGTTTTGTAGGTAGCTGTAGCTGTGTTGCCTAAACGTCATGATGCTTCACCTATCAATGTTCGACTCTGATGTGATGTCACATCTGCTTCATAGATGGCATTATTGGAAAGCTCTATGTTTTGTACCTTAGCTGTAAGGAAACTACAGTTCATAGGTGCATAGTGAGAATTTGTGCACTGAAAATCTGTGTTAATGACAATTCCATTAGTTTCTTGTCTCAAATACACTTACTTCAGATGTATTCAAAGCTAGAAATTAGTTGCGCATCCACTTTTTCTGATTTATTCTAGAAATTACATATGCAAATTTGCTGGAGTGAAAAAATAAATCCCTGATTAGTGAAGTAATTAACTTTATGTGGAATCTTATATTTTATACTTACATACTGCCACATATATTGCAATTATATTTTCTGTACACTGTCGAATTACAAGTGATATACATGCTAACAGTAATTACACAGAACGCGGGTGAGGTGGTGATTTTCCGCAATTCTCCTCAAAGTTGTTGAAAACACAAGAAAAAACAAGAAACATCGTAATCTAGCCTCTTCAGAAAGGACAACATATAAATCACCCGTCGAGAACAGCTAATAGATATACTTCATTTGCAGCATATTCAGTAATAATTTTCTCACATAGCAAATATCACTGATTTTATTCACGTGCAATACAGTTGCGATCTTGCTACTCAACCAACTTTCTTTCTATCATATTTTTTCATAGGCACTACTTAGCTTTCTGCTTTCTTTGTCGATTTCAGCTTTTTTACATATATGTTTTTTGAATGAATCACGCCTACCGAAAATTTAGACTACCCATCTCTATACTTTGTCAAATGTCAATGCGGATCTTTGAGAACATGGATTAATGAGACTTTCTACGTCTACAAAACGGGCGGCCATTTTGGGTGTCTCTTCCGATTAGCTGTCACTTGGAGTTTCGCATGAAAAAATTCCAGGATTTTACTTTTAGAATATCGGTCGTATCGCAAAAGGAGCGTGTGGGGTGTAATTTTAACTTTTAATTTGTGTTTTGTTGCGTACCAGGCAGCAACATGACGCAGCAATTACTGCCCATAAAGTTCCAGGAACACCTACAGGTAAAAATTAAATCGCCTCTACACAAGCTGTTTTCTCCGTACCTTGTATGAGCTTTGGCTGAATATGGCTTTGTTTTGGCTTTGTCCTGTATAAACTTTATTTTTCTGGTATACTTCTGTATTTAACCTTTTAACTTTAAAAAACCGGTTTTTTTATTTTAATGGTTGACCGTCCAGTGGGGGCGTATTGTTCAACAAAGTTTCGTATTTTTATACATATTTTACATATCCTTCGAGATATTGATCTAAGCGACAGACAAGGAAATTATATCTTTATGTGCTAGTTTGTCCGACGTATTCATACCCTCTTAAAAATAGGTCAAATGGTCTTGCAAAGGGTAATTTCCTCTAACCCTATTTTTGGCAATGAAAACGATCGATTTCTATCAATGAAGAACTGAATCTAGATTTAAACCTCATATTGTTGCTACTTGCTTACTATTATGTTAGTGACACATTTTGATTCGCTTTTTTGTATAATTTTATTGCCAATATTTATTTCTCAGCTAGACTATTATCATTTTAATGTTAGTACTAACCAGCAATCGCCAAAATCAAATTATTGGAATAATTAGGTTGAGGCATCACTGGTATTGTACTCATGCCCAGAACAGAGGTTGATGATTCATCATATTAGATGATGTGTTTCTGTATTTTTTTTGTAAAGATATAACAACAAATAATGACCTGTATTATTTTCAATGCCTCATGTTTTTTAATTTAGTTTTAGTAGTAGTTAAGCTGAAACAGAAATGCAGAAAGGGGTAATCTGTGTTGACAAAAACAGTTTCATAACTTCTTACACAGTACTTCCACAACCACTTATTATAAATCAATAATATATCTTGAAAGAATTATGTATTAATTCAAATCTTATTTATACCCTGTCAAAACAAAAACCAGTGTGCAACATTCAAACTTGCACATTCTGATTGGCCATAGGGCCATAAATGTTGTGGGCAGGCAGCAATATGTGAATAGAAGGGGCATTCAACTGTTCAAATTTTATTTTGAAACAGAGTAAATAAGGTGTGAATAGACTATAGGAAGTTATTGGTAGAGGTATGGAAATGCCCAAGTTCATTGACCTTTTTGCATTATTTCTGTTATTGCGAACCAATTATCTTGAGAATATGTCAACTTGCGTTAAGAACCAATCAAAAGTCCATCCAATTAATCTTATAAGAGTCCAGTGTACTATATGTATATCTGTTTGTAATAATGCAGAATTTAACATGGCATGCCACAATAACTTTTGGATGCTAATACAACTTAATAAGATGCAAAAACTTTCCTCTGATGTCTAATTCCACCCTTAAGATAAATTCCAAGGTAGTTTTCGTACCTGTAGTTAATAACTAATCAGTTTAGGAAATTTTCAAAGCAGTGATAGAAAACCAAATGGTATTTTTTTATAGTAGAATCAAATTTTCATCTAAAATCTGAATGGTTTTTTCCAAGCTTTACTGGTTATTGGATAGAGCTGCAATAAGCTAAAGATAATTATATTAAATAATATTTTTCAATTTTGATTCTGGTGCTGCTGATTTTCAAAACTGACAGCTTTATTACACTTGGCATGCTAGTAAAATGATTCAAAATTGTATCGAAACACTATTGGAAGTCCCCAAATTATATGTAGAGCTAAGGATTCTTGCACAGATGATAGATGTGACAACAAACAGAAATGAATGTTGTTTTTTGATGATGTAACATCAAAAACCTTTCTACATATATTATGCATCTCCTAGACAGACCAACCACAGGTGGAAGTATGTCAGTTTTTTTGTGCAAATATTATATGCAAAATTGTACTTTTTCTTAGTGAGTATACATAGATGTTCTATGGACTTGATGTTAGTTAGTGGCCATTGGTGAAAGATTTGATCATTCAAGCTAGATTTAGCCAAATGTTGCAATTGCTTGTATTCTGATGCCAGACCAACAAAACAGAAACAAATCAGCAACTCAATGTTTTTCAACAATTAAGCAACATTTCATCAACAATTCGTGTTTTGTTTCTGTTTCTGTCAACTTTTGGCGTTCCCGTCGCGAGTCTGTAAAGATCAAAAGGATTCAGTTTTGTTTACAATTCAGGCAACACTGGCAGTGCGATTTGTACTTTGTTGCAAAACAAATATAAAACAGAAAATAGTATCAAAAGTGAAGGTGCTGAGTAGGGTATTTAAAAATAAATATGCAGACTGTTGGGTGAAAAATTAAAGTGGAGCATAGGTAACACGAGTAAATTAATTGAAGTATATAGGGAGTATCCTATATCTTAGTGTTACAGCCAAGTGTTCAACTACCTTAATGGCATGTCTGAAATTGGTATTTTTTTATAAATTTCAGGACCGATAAGCTGTATTAATTCTTCAAAGTTTTCACTGGGCATTCTTAAAAAGTCTTCGAAACTAGAACGCATTTCTCCTCGCAATCAAATATCATCTTTACGCAAAGGGACAATAATTTTTCAATACCACAATCATCTCTTTCACATAAGGATGGCTTCACCCAAAAGAATTTTTATTTTCCGGTCGTAACTCTGTAGAAAAGTAATAACCAGCAGACATTATGATAAAATCTTTGCACTTCTGCCTTTCAGCATGAAAACGCCACGTTTTCACTCTGAAAATTTTTGGTGTGAACTGCATGTAACATGATGTGGACCTGACATAACAACAGATACAATAAGTCTCATGACATTAATCACCTACCAACAGATAAAACTTGCCCTATTTGCAATTTCTTTCAACAAAGACATATTTCGCGGATTTCCTTTTAATGATTTTGGATATCTCTAATGTAACTGATAGCTTTCAAACTATGTATGTACGGAATTTATGGCTAGACGTTTAGTGAAAATTGGACCTATTGATGTTCGCTCTCTTGTCAATGCTACTGTGAATATGGTTACACTAAAAATTTTTGATATACTTGCTATTTCAGAGACGTGGCTAAATAAGCATATTACTGATGATGTAGTTAGGATTAGTAATTATGATTTTATACGATGTGATAGAGAATCTTGTGGTGGTGGAGTTGGTGTTTATGTTAAGTCAGACTTGTTTGCTGCAAATATATATATATACAGGGTGACTTCGAAGTTGAGTCATTTATTTTAACAGTGAGTAGATCTGATCAAAAGAAATGTTTTTTTCCTTTACCATTTTTCTGGTAAAATTAAAGTAACAAAGTTATAGCCCTTTGGAAGTTTGAGTACCGCCCTGCCTATTATATGCTCGTGTTTGGCGACAACGGATATAATCCGCCTGACCGTTCATCGCATCGGAAACAAAAAAGCGAAAGAATTTGAAACGTTTATCACGATGTTTTTCGTCAGTCGATAAATCCTGAGTGAATAGTAGTATGTTGCGTGGCTCAAACGAAATCAAAAATGGCACATGTTTACGAAAATGCTGAACTTGTGGACATGATTCTTATTTACGGGGGGGCAGTCTTTACAAAATGCTCCCGGATGCATCACGGATTTATGCGAATCGGTTTCCCAATCGAGTGCAACCAACCCCTCGTGCCTTTGTTAATGTAGTGCAAAGGGCTCGTGAATCAGGTGACTTAAGACCTCACAGGTGAGGGCATGCTGCTCCAAGACCGCACGATCAAATACAGGTCCGCACTGAAATACTTGTCGGGAGGATACTTTATTAAACAAGGTAACATTTTTTTTTATTTTTTTTTATTTTTACACACATATTTTGGTTTATCTTCCTTCTACAATCATTATCTGAAAATTAATGACTCAACTTCAAAGTCACCCTGTATATATATATATATATATATATTGGTGTATATTTTCGTGAGTATTTGAAAAATATGTGGGTTAAAGTAGTAGTGGGTAAGTGTGATTTATTAGTACGTGTACTTTACCATCCTTCATCTCAAGGTATAGAACAATGCATATTTATTAAACGACTTGTTGAATGGCCTTGTAACCTCTTATACCAAGGTTGTGGTACTAGGAGACTTGGTTATTTTTTTATTAGTGATAATATGGTTTTTAAGTTTGGAGACAGTTATGATATCTCATATCATAAACTCGTTTATTTTCATTTTGATATTCCTCTTATAAAAGAAAACAAAAATTTAGTACAAATCAGTATTTCAAAAATTTCAGTGAAGATGCGTTTCTTTTTGATGTTTCTATATCCCCAATAGATAAAGTATTCATTTGATCCAATATCGACGAGAAGGTTAAAACATGCACCATTTAAGACTATAAGAGTGAACAAACCACCAGTTTAATTGACGAACTACTCGCTATTCTCAAAGATAAAAATAAGGAATCCAGCTTCAAAAATGATAGGGAGGGATAAAAAGGAAGAAAATTTGGCTAATCAAAATGATAAAAAAATTTCCGTAATTAACCAACTCTACCGATCCATTTCAATGATCCGATCAAAATTAATGATTATTTCATGTCTGTGTATAGTAGTCAATCTATAGATCAACGAGTTACTGAATATTACTCCGAAAATAAGTTATATACAGAACTCACTTTTACATTGAGCAAAATACACTCCAGTGAAGTATTACGGCAATAAAGTCACTAAAGTCGGATTCAAAGGGTATTGACGGTCTATCTTTGTTAGTGATCCGACTGTGCCTACTGATTGTTCTCATTCACATCATAGACATCATTAATGATTGTTTAGAACAGGAGCCTTTCCAACAGCATGGAAACAAGCTTTGATTGTACCAATCCCCAAACCCACTGAATTCAACGACCTAAGACCTATCAGTTTACTACCAATTTTGTCTAAAATACTAGAGAAACTGGTGAAATTATAACTAACCACTTACCTTGAAAAATACTTAATAATTCCTGATACCCAATCTGGCTTTAGACAAAATTTTAGTATGACCTGCGCGCTTCTCAAATTACAAGGTAATATTTTAGGAGCCTTGGATAAGAAAATATTGCTTTAATATTAATATCTATAGATTTCTCGAAAGCTTTTGACAGCATCAGTCATGAATTA